CGGCGCAGGGCTGGGCTGGCTTCACTCTGTGCAGGGACACTCTCCCAATGGCCCATCTTTCCCCTCACTCCTCCACAGCCCAGAACGTTCCTCGGGGGCCCCACGCCGGAGTCAGACAGGACAGAGCTGATCCCAGGGGACAGAGAAGGGAGGATGAGGATGGTGAAGGAGGTGGAGGCTGTGCCCTGCCCATCACCCCCCTCCAGCCACGTGGGAAAGGAGCTGGAATTTTCTGAAGAGCCTTTGAGACTCTCCAAAAAACGACGGAGAACCTGTGGAGGAGCCGCAGATCGCCCGGAAGGCGCCGATCCCACCGTGGACTCGGCGGGGACGAGGGGCCAAAGGCCCCAAGCAGAGAATTCCCACTGTATCCCAACCCACTCCTTGCCTCCGGGGATTTCTGATTTCAGTGGGAAGAACGAGGGTCCCTTCAGAGCCCCAAACCAGCCCTGGAGAGCCCTCGTGCCCCCCCCGAACGTGACAGTGACACGGATCCACATCCCTGTCTCCCTTGGCTTTGGGAATTCCAGCCCCATTCCCAGCTGGATCCACAGGGCAGGGACACAAACACCAGCCCATTGGGCAAAGCCTCAGCTCTGCAGTGACAAAATCCCACTAAAAATACCGGTTTCCCCAAATGCCACTTAAAAAAAAAAAAAATCTCCTGACACAAATCCAAGGTTTTTTTCCTCTCTTGCTGTGAAAAATCGACAGAATGGGAAAAACTATTTTGGTTTGAGCTCCTGGTCATGGCAACGAGGGGAAAAACCAGCTCAGGAATAGCCTGGGTGGTGCTGCCATGGGGGTTTGGGCACCAGAACCTTCGACACCATTATTACTGAGGCACCAGAATTCCCCTGGTGCTGCTGAATTTTGGGGCATTTTCACATTTATCACTTAAAATCATGGCAAAAAATGCCCTTCCTGAAAACAAGGCTGAGCTCGGGTGCTGCTTAATTCCTGCCTTCCCTCTGCTTCCCAAACACTGCTGAGCTTTTGTGTCAGGGACCAGGGTCAGGTGTGCTCCCCACATCCCCCAAATTCCTTGGGATTGTTCCCCAAGTTCCTTTGGATTGTCCACCCACATTCCTTGGGATTGTTCCCACATTCCTTGGGATTGTTCCCACATTCCTTGGGATTGTCCCCCACATTCCTCTCTCGCTCCGTGGCTGCCGCGGTGGGGGGGCTTCCCCCTCAACCCGGAGCCCCCCGGGAGCCCGGGACCCCCCGGCCGTCGCTGTCCTCACTGCAGACGATTCCTCCCGGGAGCCACTTCCAGCCCGGTCCGTGTTTCCCCAGCCCGGCCCGTGTTCTCCCCCACAGCCGCCCCGGTGGGGCCGGGGCCGGTTCGCGCCGCTGATCCCCCCCGGGACCGGCCCCGGCGCAGTCCCGGGATGCGTCGTTTCGCTCCCGATGTCCGGGCGCGGCCCCGAGAGCACGGCCGGGGGTTCTCCTCCCACCGGGACGGGGCTCCAGCGGCACCGGGACCGGCCCGCGGGGCTCTCACGGTCGGGGTGGAGGGGTCACTCCCCACCACACGAACTCCCGACCAGGTCCGGCCTCCCGCAGCCTCGAGCCCCGGCAGCCTCTCCGCGGATCACCGCCCGCTCCCCCCGGTGCTACCGGGGTCGCATCGCGCCCCCCCCGCCCCGGGAGCCCCGAACGCCGCCCACGGGCCCCGCTCTCCGCACGGGGCCCCCCTCCCCGGTCCCACGTACCGCGGCCGCCGGGCCCAGGCCTCTCGGGGGCCGTTCCGGGGCCTCTCGGGGGCCGTTCCGGGGCCGCTCCGGGCTCAGGGGCGGCCGCGGCTTCCACCGGGTCCCCCCCGCCCGGCCCCGCCACGCCGGAAGTTGCCGCGCCGGAAGCGCCGCTCTGGCCCCGCGCGAGCAACAACTCACTGGTCGGGGCGGGGCTCCGCGAGGTGAGCCGCGCTAAGCCCCGCCCACAATGCATCGCTATTGGTTGGAGCAGCGTTACGTCACCCGGCCCGCCGTGCGCTGATTGGCTGCGCGGGGCAGTGTCCGGGGGCTGCCGGGAGCGTGCCGGTGAGGGCGCGCGGCGGGGGCTGCGAGCGCCCCCTGGCGGCGGGGCGGGAGAGAGGGCGGTGCTCCCGATCCCGGTCCCGGTGGCCCCGGAGTCTCGCTCGTGGGTAGTCCCGTCCCCGCGGTCCTGTCTCCAGTGTCCCGGCGGCCCCGTTCCAACGGTCTCGTTCCCCGCGTCCCCGCACTCAGCCCGGTGGTCCCGTTCCCAGCGGTGATGCCCCCCCGGTGTCCCGTCCCCGCGGTCCTGTGCTCGGTGCCTCGTTCCCACGGTCCCGTCCCCGGTGTCCCCGCAGCCCAGTGGTCCCGTCCCCGCGGTCCCCGGCCCCGGCAGCGATGCCCTCCCCCGTGTCGCGTCCCCGCTGTCCTGTCCCTGCTGTCCCCGGTGGTCCCAAGGCCGGTAGTCTCGTCTCCAGTGTCCCATCCCCGGTGTCCCATCCCCGGTGTCCTGGTCCCATCTCCGGGTGGTCCCATCCCCATCCCACATACTGCTCCCCGTCCCAGCAGTGATGTCCTGCCCCCCGGGGGTGGCACAGCCGGTGTCCCCCCGTGCCCCCCATCCCCGGTGTCCCCCCTGTCCCCGGTGTCCCCCCATCCCCGGTACCCCCCGCTCCTCCGCAGGGTCCCACCGGCACCATGAGCACCGAGACGCTGGTGAAGGACGTGAAGCCGGGGCTGAAGAACCTCAACCTCATCTTCATCGTGCTGGAGACGGGTGGGTGTGAGGGCGGGGGGTCCCCCCTGTCCCCACGTGCCCCCCTGACCCCGCGTGTCCCCCCAGGCCGGGTGACGAAGACCAAGGACGGGCACGAGGTGCGAACGTGCAAAGTGGCCGACAAGACCGGCAGCATCAACATCTCGGTGTGGGACGATGTGGGGAACCTCATCCAGCCTGGGGACATCATCCGCCTCACCAAGGGGTACTGGGGGGGCTGGGGGGGCGCCCGGGACCCCCGACCCTGCGGGGACCCCGCCCTGACCTCCCCTTCCTCCTCCTCCTCCTCCTCAGCTACGCGTCCGTCTTCAAGGGCTGCCTGACCCTCTACACGGGGCGCGGGGGGGACCTGCAGAAGATCGGCGAGTAAGGACGGGCTGGGGGGTCCCCCCGGAGCTGGGGGGGGCTTGGGGGGGCGGGGGGACCCCACGGCCCCTCTCTGCCTGCAGGTTCTGCATGGTGTACTCCGAGGTGCCCAACTTCAGCGAGCCCAACCCCGAGTACGTGGCGCAGCAGTCGCAGAACAAAGGGGTGAGCTGGGGGGTCCCGGGCTGGGGAGGGGGCTGGGCTGGCACTGCCAGGACCCCCTCGGCCCCCCGAGGGCAGCCCCCTGGCTCTGCAGCACACGGGGGTCTCCATCTCCTCCTCCACAGGCCCAGAACGACAGCGCCAGTGCTTCTGCTTCACAGACCACCCAGGGCCCCCCCGCAGCCCCCCCAGGTAGGTCATGCAGCCCCCTCCCCACCCTGGGGCTGCAGGATCCCCCCCGTGGGACCCCCAGGCTCAGGGGGGGTAGGGGCGGCTCTACCTTTCCCTCCCGGTTCTCTCGCAGCCCCCGACAGCCAGAACGGGAACGGGCTGAGCCCGGGGGGCCCCGCGCACCCCCCCAGCGCCCCCGCGCACCCCCCGAGCGGCCGCATCACCCGCAGCCAGCCCGGGCACCCCGGCCCCGCCTCCGGCCCCGTCAGCAACGGCAAAGAGACGCGGAGGAGCAGCAAGAGATAACGGGGACCCTCCCCCGGACCCTCCTCCCTCCAGCCCCGCCACCGTCGGGAACGGCGGGGGGGGCCCGGCCCCCCAGCCCCGCGCAGCCCCCGGGGCGAGGAGGGGGTGCCCGGGCCCCGCTGCCCCCCACTCACGTGCCTGCGGGGGCGGCCCGGAGCCCCCCGTGCTCGGGGGTCCCGGGTGGGACAGGGCTGAGCGGTGCCGGGGGGTCCCCCCCCGCCCTGTGCCCCCCACCCACAGCGCCCGGGACCCTCGGGGTGCGTGTTAATAAAGGTCGAGCTCTGCCCACGCCTCTCCTGCTCCTGCCCGGCACGGGGGGGACCCGGACCCCCCCCCGCCCTCAAGGCCCTCCCCGCGGCCCCTCCCGGCACCGGGGCCGGCCGGGAGCAGCTCCGGGGTGACCCTTGGCCCCCCCGGGTCGGGCGCAGCAGACGCGGGACGGGGACGGGGACGGGCAGGGCCGCGTCCCCCCGGCCCCACCACCGGTCAGGTGGGCACGGGTGGGCACGGGAGGGTCCCGGGGGGACACGGGCGATACCAGCGCCGCGCCTGGGGGGGGTCCCACGAGTGGGGTGGTGATGGGGACAGTGAGACCCACGTGGGGGGGCGGGGGGGGGCTGGGGGGGGGGGGCACCCGCGGGGCCGTGGGGGGGTCGGTGGGGCCCTGGCTCCCAGGATTTTCCATCGTGTCCTGGCCCCACGTGGGAGAGGACGGCGGCCATCCCACCATCCCATCTCCACGTGCGGCTGTCCCGTGTCCCTGCTGGGAAGGGGGGAGCCGGTGGGGGGATGTGGGGCTGTGGGTGGTGGGGTGGGGGGTGAGGAGGGAGCCGGGGGGTGCCGAGGGCTTTATCTCCCGCCTGGTGAAACATTAACTCCCTCACAAAACCTGCCCCCGTTGCAAAACCTCCCCTCGAGGACGAGGGTCACCATGTCCCCCCACAGCATTGTCCCCACCACCCCCCTCTCCTGCCTCGGGAGCCCTCGGGGGGCACAGGGGCAGCACCCCTCATCCCAGCCCCTCTGCCCGGGGTGTCCCTGAGCCCCGGTGTGGGACACGTTTCCTGGGAGGTGACCCTGGTGCCGCCTGTTGCTTTCCCTGTGGACGGACGGGTGCCAGGAAAGTGCAGCGGGGGCCACCTGGGGGGACCCCACGTCCCAGGAGGCGCCCACAGCTCCCACCACCCTCACCCCAGTGTCCCCCTCCTCCCCCAGCTCCGCCGCCCCCAGGATCCGGCCCCATGGGCCCCCCCGGGCTCCTCCTGGGGCTCCTCCTGGCTCTGGGGGTCAGGGGGACGCCGGAGCCGCCGGGGCCGCTGCCCGAGGAGCAGGAGCACGGGTATTACCTGCAGCAGCTCTTCGGGCAGTACGGGGCCAACGGGACCCTGCCCTTCGAGGGGCTGGCGCGGCTGCTGGGCAGCCTCGGGCTGGGCCGTGTCCAGGTGGTCCAGATCCAGCACGAGGAGCTGGGCCACGGCCACGTCAGTCACCTGGACCTGCTCGAGGTGCAGGAGGAGAAGCACCGGCACCGGCACCCGGTCTGGGAGCACGGTGGGGACGCGGCTCCCGGCGCCCCAGCGACCGACCGACCCCACAGGTACCCGATTCCCCCCCGGTCCCGGGAGGGCTGCCCCACACCCCGGCGTGATGGGGGGCTCATGGCCCCGGTCTCCCGCAGCCCCCCGCCCTCCCAGACACAAAGCTGGGCGAAGCCAGTGCCCACCGAGCCCCCCGGTGCTGGGGGCCCCCCCCCGGCGGTACCAGCCCACCCTCAGCCTGCTGGGGAGGGTCCTGGGCTTGGAGCACTCCAGCGCCGACCACCCGCACGATGACGTGAGTGGGGGGGGGGTCACACCATCCGGCTCCGCTGCCACATCTGGGGAGCCTGGGGGACCCCCGGCTGCTCCTCGTCCCCCCGGGACCCCCTGCAGCGCTCACCGCAGCCCCCCGGCCCTGCAGTGCCTCAACGTGACCCAACTGCTGGTGAACTTCGGGCTGGACTCGGTGTCGCAGCTGACGCCGGAGCAGTTCACCCTCCTGTGCCCGGCCCTGCTCTACCAGATCGACAGCCGCGTCTGCATCCAGCACAGCGATGAGGTGACGCTGCCTCCCCCGGGGGGGGGCCTGTGGCCAGGTAACCCCAACCCGGGGTAACCCCTCCCAGGCCCCCGGCCCCGGGTTGTCTGTCCCCGGGCCCCCCACAGCCTGTCACTCCATTGCTGCATCCCCACGTGCCCCAGTGTCTGATCTCCGTGCCCCCCATCTCTGTAGCCCCATCTCTGGTTCCTCGAGCATCTGGTCCCCCTGTCCCTGCACCCTGAGCCCCTGGTCTCCCATCAGATGGACCCTGTGGACCCTCTCCGTGCATTCCCATCCCTGGCTCCTCCATCATCAGCTTCCCAGGTCCCCTGTCACTTCAGTCCCATCCCTGGATCCCTCCAACCCCATCCTACAATGATCGTCCCTCCAACCCCAAGTGCCCCCCCTCTCACACTCCCCATCCCCAGATTCCCACACTCCTGGTCCTGGGGTCCCCATTCCTGAGGTCCCCATCCCTACCTCCCTGGGGTCCCCATCCTGCATCCCCAAGGACCCCCCATCCCCACACCCCCTCTCCGTGCCCCCCTGCTCCGGCCGTGCCCCCTGACCCTCCCCACAGCGCTGGGCTGGGCTCTCCTGGCCGTGGCCTCCATCAGCCTCCCGTCCGCCCTGGCCGTGCTCCTGGTCCCGCTGCTGAGCCGCAGCTTCTTCCGCTCCCTCCTGGCCTTCCTGGTGGCCCTGGCCGTGGGGACACTCTGTGGGGACGCCCTGCTCCACCTCTGGCCCCACGTAGGTACCCCCACCCCCGTGGAGGGGAGGTGGCACCCTGGGGGACATTGGGGTGTTGGGGTCCCCTGACCCACTGGGTCACCCCTGTCCAGGCCCAGGGGGGGCACCAGGACACGTCGTCGGAGCCGGGGCCAGCAGTGCTGCAGGGGCTGGCGGTGCTGGGGGGCATCTACCTGCTCTTCCTGCTGGAGCTGCTCCTGGGGATGCTGCGGCGCAGGCGGGAGGCCACGGTGAGAGCCACGGGCACGGGGCAGGCCACGGGGTTGCCACCAGGTCCGGCTTTGTACCCAACACCTCTGTTCTTTCACAGGGATACCCCCATGGAGAGACCCCCGGTGTGGCCGTGGGGGTCCTGGCACCGTCACGAGGAGGTACAACCCCCCCCTCGTGCCCCACAGTGCCCACAGCCCCCAGCCCCGACACCCACCCCGTGTCCGTCCTGCAGCAGGGGCCGAGCTGAGACACCTCAGGGCACCAGACACGGACCCGGAGCTGGAGCTGAGGCCCCACGGACCCCCCCGTGAATCCCCCCACGGGCCCCCCCACGGACACTCCCACGGCCCCGCGCTGCCCCTCAGCCCCGGGGCCACCGACATCGTGTGGATGGTGGTCCTGGGGGATGGGATCCACAACCTGACGGACGGGCTGGCCATCGGTGAGGGGGCAGAGCTGGACACGGGCACGGACCTGGATGTGGACACGGAGGGTGCCCAGGGACAGGGAACAAGGGGTGCAGAGTGCAGCAGGGGCAGAAGGACAGGCGGGCACAGGGACAGGGGGCAGGGGGTGCACAGGGCAGGGGGTGAAGGACCCTCTTCCCGCAGGTGCCGCCTTCTCCCACAGCCTCTCCAGCGGGCTCAGCACGGCGCTGGCCGTGCTCTGCCACGAACTGCCCCACGAGCTGGGTAAGTGCTGCTCCCCCTGCCCTGGCAGCCCCTCAGCTCCCCTCACACCCACCCACCCACCCACCCGCTCTGCCCGCAGGTGACCTGGCGGTGCTGCTGCGGGCGGGCACCGCCCCCCGCTCCGTCCTGCTCCTCAACCTGCTCTCGGCCCTGCTCTCCTGCCTGGGCGTGGTCGCGGGGGTGGCCGTGGGGCACAGCGGGACCCCCCTCACCCCCTGGGTCCTCACCACCACCGCCGGCATCTTCCTCTATGTGGCCCTGGCCGACATGGTAAGGGCTGTCCGGGGCTGTCCGGGGGTGTCCGGGGGTGTCCGGGGGGTGTCTGGGGCTGTCTGGGGTGTCCGGGGTGTCCGGGGCGTGTCCGGGGGGTGTCTGGTGCTGTCCAGGGCTGTCCGGGGCTGTCCAGGAGTGTCCGGGGCTGTCCGGGGCTGTCTGGGAATGTCCAGGGGTGTCTAGGGGGTGTGAGCCTCCTGCTGAGCCCCCGCTCTGCCCCAGCTCCCCGAGGCTCTGCGAGGATCCGCCGAGGGCCCCGGCGAGGGCACCTGGAGCCGCTTCCTCCTGCAGAACGCGGGGTTCCTGCTGGGCAGTGGCATCATGCTGGGCATCGCCCTGGCCGAGGGGCACGTTCGCGCCTGGCTGCAGCTCTGAGGGGCTCGGCCGGGGCCAGGACCGGGCAGCAGGACGCCCAACGTGCCCCCAGGACCGGATTTTTTCACCTCCTGAAGACCCTCAGCGGCATCCGCTGCCTCGGGAGCCTCAGGCTCAGCCTCCTGTGGGGTGGGACTCGGGGGTCCCCTCAGCCCCCCTGGGTGGGGGCAGTGGGGTGCTCACACACCCGGCTCCGGGGCTGAATCCAAGCTTGTTCCCCTTCCCGTCCTCCCAGACCAGGCAGAGGAAGGACAACAGCCCGTAGAAGCAATAGCATTTTAATAAACATAATTGATTCAAAGCCACAATACGAAGAACAGGACTTGGTTGCAGCTCACACGGTAGAAAATAGATCAAGTCTGAATGATTTTGTCTTTCCCTCTCCCCCTTTTTCAGTATCTTTTTAGTTCCTTTCCCTTCCCTCCCTTCCCCTTCCTCCTCCCCGAAGGTGATGCAGGATTTCTGAAAATACAGAACAACTGAGAAAAAAGTGACTGCTCAGGAGGCTCGGGGAGCCGGGGGGTGGGCTCACACTGGAACTCTGGAGCTGGGAGAGGAACAAGCTCAGGCCCTTTCCAGGGAATGCTGAGCTCCACTCCCTGCAAAGGTCTGAAACAGCCAAATCCAGGGACTGGAGCACCTGGGGTTTGGGCACCCTGGGGCAGCCAGGGGGACAATCACCCCACAGGTGGGTGATGTCCCAGCCCAGCCCCACGGGGGGCCAGGGTGGGCTTCAGACTCTGCAGGGTCTTCCAGGGGTGCCCGAGGAGCAGGACAGGGACACCCCGAGCCCCTCCATGTCACACCCATGTCCCCTGCACCGGACACTGCGGGGGCAGGAAGGCACCAAACACAGCCCAGCAGGGATGTTACCCGGGATTTCTCCGGGATATTTTCTGCTGTCAGACCTGGAGCACCCGTGGGATGGGGCGAAGGTGGCAGGAAAGGGGCCGAGCCCTCTGTGACCGACCCGTGCCCTGCTCTGCACTCCCACCCCCAAACTGGTCACACTTCACACAGTGCAAAATTCAGAAAGATGCTGCCAGGATCCGAATGCCTGGAGCCCTTGACCCATTCCATAGTGGGGCTGGGACCCCCTCCCACAGCAAGACTGGGAGGGCTGGAATCCCTCTGGGGGGCTGGAATCCCTCTGGGGGGCTGGGATCCTGTCTCACAGCAGGAGTGGGACCGCTCAGGGGTCCCAGACCCCCCATGCCTCTGGCCTCTCCTTCCACCCAACCAGGGGCTCCATCCATGTCCTCAGCCGAGGCAGAGCTTGGGAAAGCTCGTTCCCAGGGCGAGGGGACCAGCACAGGGCTGTGAGTGGGCAGAGCAGCACAGTGGGACCCCTGGCACCCCCCGGCTCCGACACCAACAACCCCTGAAATCCAAATGCCGAGCCCCAAAGAACCGGCAGTTTTGTCCAAGCCATCAGGAATCCGCTCCCGAAGGGCTCAGAGAAGGAAAAAGAAGGGACAGGAGGAAGGCCCAGGCCCACCAGCAGCTCCAGAGGAGCCCGAAAAGTCCGGGAACACCACCAGGAGGCCCCTCACACCCCGGTTCTCCAAACACCACACCCAGGCCGCGGGCGGCTCAGCCGGAGGTTTCCATGCGTTTCCTTTATTATTTTCAAGTTGACGAACAATATCGATACGACTGGGTCGAGTAAGGCTATTTTCCTCTTTTTTTTTTTTTTTTTTCTCTTCCCCCTCTTTCTCCCCCCCAGCACGGGAAGAGGGACGAGGCCCCGGGGCCGTGGAGGCCGGGACACGGAGGAGTCGGCTGTACCTGACAGGTGATGAGGTTTGTCCTGTCGCCACCAAAGGAACATTTATGTGCATAAAATACAGAGGTGCAGCATTGACACGGAGGATATTAAAGACACAGAGTTGCTACAGATGCCTTAAGAGACGCGTCCCCCATCCCCAACCGCCCCGCGGGGGCTCCGGCTCCGTCCCCTCCAGCCTCGCGCCGCAATTCCAAGGATTTCAGGGCAGCTCCAGAGCCATTCCCGCCTCGTGGGTACGTTACCCGGAGCTCCCGGTGATGCTTCGGGTGAGTCTCGGCTTTTATTTTTTTTGGGGGGGGGTTTTAATCTCCTTTCACTGCCGAGCCCAGAAAATTCCAGCCAGGAGAAGAGGATTGAAGAGCTCCTTGTGTCCTTGGAGAAAAACAAAGAACAGAAAGAAAAGGAGGGGGGAAAAAAAAAAAAAAAAAGGCAAAGAAAAAGAAACAAAAGCCCGAACCAAGGAATCCCTCGTGTCCACGCCGGGATCCTCTGGAAGGGGCTGGTTTTTCCTTTGGTTTCTCACTGAAGGCAAAGGTGAGCGTGGGCTGCACGGATCCGACCCCGGCATTCCCACCCGGAGGACCCCGGGGTCCCCCTGCTGCGGGGGGGTGCTGCCAGGGAGCCAGGGGGGCTCCTCAGGCCCCACGGAACGTCAGGATAAAATCAAGGAAAAAAGGTTGTTTCCTGGGACTCTGCGTTCGTTGTTTTGGGTTTTCCTTGTTCCTCCCCCCGCGCCGGGGACTGGGATCTGCACAGACCCCGCCACGCTCCGGGTGCTCCAAACACCCAAACAGAAACAAAACCAAAACTTATTCCACGATTTTGGAGATTTTTTTTTTTTTTCTTGGCTTTTAGTGCTACTTTTTTATTTGCCAGATTCCAGCCCCGGGATGGGGCCGATGGGGCTGCTCATCTGAGTTTGGGGAGGGGGATCCTCGCTCCATCCGGGAGAGGGAGGGGAGAGGGAGAGGGATGGGGAAGGGAGGAGAGAGGGGTGGAAGAGGAAACGGGAGGAAGGGAGAGGGAGGGGAAAGGGATGGGAGAAGGGTGGGAAAAGGGCAGGAGAGGAATGGGGAAGGGACGGGAGAGGGATGGGACAGGGATGGGAGAGGGATGGGACAGGGATGGGAGAGGGAACAGGAGCGGGACAGGGGACACATTTCCCCAAAGAACTAAGTTTCCAAGTGCCTGCAGCTGGGGAACAGCGACAACAAAGACACCCCCCAGGCTCTCCTCCTGGCTCAGGGCCTGTGGCTCCGTCGGGAACGCCGGGAAGGGCCGAGCCCGGTACATTCAGTGTTTGTCAGAGGGTCTATGGCTCAGAGCCCCTCGCTCGGGCAATGGCAGTGCAAAAACACCCGGGGACTTGAAATGTACTTGTGCTGTTGCGTTGGGTTTTTTTTTTTGTTTGTTTGTTTGTTTTTTAGATTTTTTTTTTAGTTTTTTTTTCTCTCTCTCTCAAAACACAACTTCCCTTTGTCCATTCATTCCCTAGAAACGAACTTTTTTTTTTTTTTTTAAAATTCCAACTGAAAAAATAAAGCCAAAGACACTCTCGTATCCCTCGCGCTGCTCTCTATCCCGTGGGATGCTAAAGGGAATCCAGACTCATGCTTTAACAAAAGTGCTTATTACTTGAAGCAAGTGCTTTGGACCAAGGGGGCGGAGAGAAACTTCCTTTTTTCCAGAGGTTGGGACAGGGAAGGGGACTGAGATCCGGTGCCTGCGTGTTCCAAACCAAGAGATTGATCAGATTGAGGCGGGAAAAGCCGAAAAATTCGCTGCTTGGAGGGGCAGAACTGAGCAGGAATGGTCCAACTTTGGCATAAAGGTCCGAGGGAAGAAGGTTTGGGAGCCCACGAGGGGCTGGGCAGGGGGGAGCGGGCAGGGCAGCGGAAGTTTCCCTCCATCCCTCTTTACAATGCACCAGGGAAACCATCACAAATCTCGTTTAGCAAAATAATGCATTATTACCAAACACTTTGATTATTACTTAAATTGTCAAGCTGTGCTGTCAACGATACGATACAGCGTTAAAGGAGAACAAGACTGGGACCCCCAAGGCCACACGTCCCCTTCCCACCCCATTCCCTCCCCTCTGCTCCCAGACCACGGATGCGCCGCTGGAACCTCGTTTCCCTCCATTCTCATTATTATTATTATTATTATTATTATTATTATTATTACTATTTTTAAGAAGACACAGGGGAGGGGAGAAAAAGCTCCTGGCTAAGAGGGAAGGACACAAAGCGTGGCGTGGCAAAGGATGGAGAAGCCCTTACGGAGATCACATTGATTGTCTCGGCGTCGCTGAGCGGAGGGGACACGTCAGAGCACGGCAACAAGGCCAAAAGAAGGATCAGCTCTCTCCTCTAAGCAAAGGAACTGAAAACCACGATAATACTCCAAAACACAGGGAGGGGGGCTGGTGGGGGGGTGAGGGAAAAGCAGCATTTTCCGTGTGCTCTACGGAACGGGGGGAAAAGCCACGTTCAAGTGAAATGGTGCCGGATCCCGTCTCCCGACAGCCAGGAGGCCACACCGAGGGCCACGGCACGAGGGGCACGGCCACGGCTCTCCCGGGGCAGGGATGGAGTCCACGGAGATGGAGCATCACAGCCCCGCTCCGACCAATCCCTGACCCCGGGAAGCGCTGCCTCGGCCCCTCCGTGTGCCTGGAAAAGCACTTTAGCCCTTGAAGGCAACGGCTCAGGACTTTGGCCCCACTTTCCTGCCCCGTGGGAAGGGGGAGGGAAGCAGCCAGGAGATAAAGTGATGCTTAAATTCCTCCCAGAAAGGGAAAGAGCTGCAAGAGGCGAGTGCGGATTCGCCAGCAATGTAAACAAGTCTCTGTTTCCAGTTCTCCTCCGTAGAATACTGAAAAGGATCTTCCAAAAGGATCTTTTGATTCAAGTTTCGTGAGTTCATTCTGGTTCCAGACTGAGGTATCCGGTGTAGAAAGGTCAACACTTCCTTTCAAGCTCGAGGGGAGTGAGGAGGGGGACACGCTGGGGATACTGTCCTAAAAGGAGGGGATCCAAAGGGAAGATCCCCCTGGAGCAGGCAGAGCTCTGCCCCTCACAAGTGCCTGGCCCTGGCTCCAAGATCTCACCAAGGGCAAATTTGTTGAGTGCTTTGCTGAGTGAAGTGCAGGATGGGGGGCAGGAGCACCGGGAGGGACCCGCTCCCCCCTCTGGGACAAACTCCTCCGGGAAACGCCAAGAAAATGTGCTTATCACCCAAAGGCCAAGACTGAAACTTCATATTTGGTTCTAAGAGTTTGGCTTTGGTAAAAAGAAAGAAACAGTGCGAGGGGATCCTGCCCGTGGGGCCGGGAGTGTCCCCCGGGACCTCTCCCGGGAATGGTCGGCTCGGGCTCCACAACCTACACCTGACACTCCTCCCTGACAGGAGCCACCCTCATTTAGAAATCACTAAAAAAAAGACAAAAAAAGAAGTAATTTTGGTTACAGAAATGCCCTTTTCTCTCTGACACTCTCAGGGATGCTCTTATCCCTG